GTCACTGTTGGTGGGAAGTAAATATGGACAAATAAATAAACATTATGCTGATTTCCATTTTAAAATATGATACAGGTTATTTCACACAAATTTTTCTTTCAAACGCATATTCATAATAAACATAAAACTATTTCAACTGTTAGACTACTTTTTTTTTAGATATCATCTCTTTAAGTTCCTGCAATTCTCCAGGCAGTTGAACCATGAAATGGAATTGGCATTTTCTTAAAATCTTACGCTGGTTGTATCTTTTTAATCTCCTGGGACCTTACATGATTCTTTTTACTAAGACATAGATAAGCTTATTGTTTTAAAAATTCAGACCGTATAACTAAATTTATCAGCCATGTCTGACAATGCATTCAAAATATCTGATAGTCAATTTTTTTTTTAGGTTATGCAAAATATAATGAAGTAGAATTGCAATATGTCTTTCCAAACATTAAAAAGAAAAATTCAAACATTGGAAGATTGAAAAAAGCATCTGTTTATTTCATTTCAAACACCAAAAAAAAATACTTTTATTAGAAAACATCACAAAGAAACTATTCAAGCATAAAGCATTTAAATAAAGCATTGGATTATTTCTATCTTAACATACAGAATGGAGTACAAAAAATAAATAAATACAAAACCTTTGATGATAAAAAAAAAACATTTCCCACATAAATTCAAATCATTCGAAGCATTTCATTCCAAACACCAAAAATAAAAATAATGTGATTAGAAAACAAAACAAAAACCTTATTCAAACAACATGCATCTTCAGAAAGAAATGAAAGTTTTCTAAGAATCGGCAAACATAACTTGAAAACATCGAGTTTTTCTGAGTCAATACTGGCCTAAAAAAAATCTCATCTTTACACGAAAGTTTTTGTCAAATAAGCAAACATAGTTTGAAAGTGGCAATCAATATTTTGTTCATGTTGTAAACAGGTTTTTATTTTTTAAGCGAATCACTCAACATGGCGATTATGTCACTTATTCAAGGAAATTACGCTACGATCGCTATTGTAAAAACTATCGAGGGATCTTTAACCTGCACAGCTTCGTAGCACACAACGCTCCGGTTTATTGTCCCATTCCAACGAATAGGCACTTGATAAGATCATTCCATATTTTGTTCAGAACAGATAATAAGAGGCCTCATTTTAAAAGACAATTCATCATTTTTATGAAAGAAATCTGCAAAGAATCTAAGCAGTCATTTAAGCACTATAAAAGATCAATTGCGTTGAATTATAGGTTTTTCTGCCTGAGTGCCAATATCAGCTAAAAGAAATTTTTAGAATTCTTTCATGGAACTTAATGAGGCATTTTTAAGATTTCTGTTTTCAGACAAGCCGGAATAAACGTCATTCATCAAAATCAGGCTTGAGAAGCAGTCTCAAAGACACTTCCGAAGAATGGAATGGAACCATAGAAAAAAATAAATTGGAAATCTGAAAATAGGACATGAAGAATGATGCAGCCATTCTCTAGGAAGATAATATCTCAGATTCTCAAGTATCCTGTTGACCTTGGTCTGGGCTAGGGATGTTTAACCCCAAGGGGGTAATTTTACAATTTTCTTGGGGTAAAGAGGTGCTTTGTAGTCGAGCAGATATCTTGTTATTTACTAACAAAATCATTGCTGTAAAATTCAGATATCTTTCATACAATATATTATCTTGATTCAGATATCTTAACAACCTTTGTTAGGTGATATTTCAAACAAAATTATTGTTGTAATATTCAGATATCTCTCATACAATATATTATCTTGATTCAGATATCTTAACAGCCTTTGTTAGGTGATATTTCAAACAAAATTATTGTTGTAATATTCAGATATCTCTCATACAATATAATATCTTGATTCAGATATCTTAACTGTGGAAAAATTAAGATATCTTTTACTAAATGTAACGTTTTGAATTCAGATATTCTTTACCAAATATAATGTCTAAATATCTAGATGTCTAGATATCTTAATATGTTTTGTCAATAATAGAAGTTTGAAACAAATAATCATTGCTGTAAAACCCAGATATCTTTTATACAATATACTGTTTTCAGATATCTTAATATGTTTTGTCAATAACAGAAGTTTGGAACCAAATCATGGCTGGAGATAAAATCCCTGTAAAAAATGGGTTGAAATTTGAATCAAATTCAATTCCAAAGATGACACATTAGCTCCAAATGTCAGATTGATAAAAAAAAAATGAAATTTGAAACACAGTATTGATTTAGCTGTCATAGAAATGACATAGAAACATTTTGAAAGATCAAATTCTCCTGAATTCTAATTGCTTAAAGCACAAAAGAGAATGTGAAAAATAATGATAAATAATTGCTATATGTAATAATGGTGGGGCTTCAAAATTTTATAGCTTATGTACTGTTTACTCATGAATCCTTCATCTTATTTAATGTTTACTTCATCAAGTCTTAAGCTTATGTAATGTTTACTTCATCAAGTCTTAAGTTTATGTAATGTTTACTTCATCAAGTCTTAAGTTTATGTAATGTTTACTTCATCAAGTCCTCATCTTATTTAATGTTTACTTCATCAAGTCTTAAGCTTATGTAATGTTTTCTTCATCAAGTCTTAAGCTTATGTAATGTTTACTTCATCAAGTCTTAAGCTTATGTAATGTTTACTTCATCAAGTCTTTAGCTTATGTAATGTTGACATCATCTTACATGATGTTTATCATGTTCACAGCTTATGTTATGTTTACTCATGCAACCTTCATCTTATGTAATGTTTACTTTATCAAGTCCCTGGCTTATTTCTTTAAGAAAGTCGACTTAACAGCAAAGTAAACAAGCGTCTGGGATGAATTCCATAGAGAAAGACAGGACTTGTTAAATATAGCACGTAAAAACCTATATATTATAGTTCCTCAATCTAAAATTGAAGTTGAGCTGTACATGAATCAAATAAAATGAAATAGAGTTTTACATCCTATTATTCTACTTGTGATTGGTTTATCATGAAGTATTTCATTGATCTTTCTTATATATAATTTGAAATTTTTTTTAAAAGAATCCACAAGGATTTTTTATATAATTCAATATTCTTTTTTTTCCCTTTGATAATGTTTTTTTGCTAAGAAGTAAAATAATTGAAATGCTATATTTAGTTCTAAAATTTGATTTTTTCTGATGTTTTTATTCACAGTCTTTTGTAAAGAAATACTCAATGAATCTATTGTAAGCACCTTTTCAGTGAGTTTACTGATTATTTTCAATACTATGTTAGACAGTTGAGCCTATGTCCAAAACTAGCTATCAATGGCAGCAGGCTGGCAGCTGCAGAACTTTGGTTTGGGAGAGGGCTACCAAATATTTTTCGAATCCATTCTAGAGAGGCAGAGATATTTGTAAATAAAGGGCTAAAACACTACAATTTGAGAGAGAATTCTCTCAAAATGATCACATTTTTACAATATTGGGCCATATCAGGAGAGGAAATGGTTCTTTAAGCTGCCACTGATAGCTGGCCTGAAGATTTCAATTCAGTATCCTTGCTCCCTCTTGTGAGTGTTACTCATTACCAAACAGTCAATACTGGCATAAGTTCACCTTTATCTTAGAAACCTATTTAAAAATTCTACAGCCAGATGAGCTCATCTCAACTCTCTCTCTCTTGAGTGTCACTCATTGCTATCACTCCAATATTAATCTATCTGGATCAAGTTACTATAACTTATCAGTAATTCAAACCTTTCAGCTTTCAGACTTTTTCTGCTTAACTGAACTTTTAAAGCCAATTCAAACAAGTCATCTGTCATTTTTCTACGTAATCAGATTTGACGTCTGCCACTTGGGATTCGTAAAATTCTATTTTTTATGCCGCAGTTTGTTTGAATTTTATATTGTATATGGAATTGTCATTTACTCTCTAAAGTGATTATATTATTTGATTGGCAAAGGGACAATATAATCTAAAAATGTAGAGAAATATAACTTTTAAAGGGACAGACGTCATTCTTTTTGACCAATCATACTTTTGTCTCAGAAACGGGAAAATTGAGCTAAGCCAATCAGTACTAGTGTTCACAGCTCACTGTCGAAATTTGAGCCTTCAAATTCATGTGTGTTCAGAATTATCCACGTTTGAATGTTAAAATGACATTTCTAATACTTCTGAAGAATATTTACATATATTCAAGACTCAAATCTACCTCCCAAAAATGGCTCACTGTCCCTTTAAGCTTAAGTTTTCTGAAAAAAGAGAGAGCACTTTTGCCGAGGTTTATGAATTGTTGAGCTTGTAAAGATTATTTATTCTGTCCAGTAGACCACGCACTCAAACAATGACAATATCAAACTCTACTTTAGTTTTTTTGAATGTATTGATTATTTTTGTAGAGAAAGATATCTTTAAGATTTATTGAAGATAAAACTAATCATCAATTCTCAGAATTGCACATTAAGATTTTTTAAAGTTGGATAGTGCTGTAGGAAATGAAACCATCTAGGACAATACTAAACATACACAAACGCAGTTTATTTTCAGGTAAAATATATAGTCATTGAAATTATACAAGATTAACTTATATCGTTTTCATAACTGCTTAAAATAAAGTGGACTGCTTGTGCACAAATATATTAGCTTAATTATAGTTACATTGCATGGTTTGTAGGCTTACTTTTTCGAGTTTGAAATTGGTTGGACTCTTATGAATACAAGTCCCATGTTTTTTAACACATTATGAAAGAACTTCAACACTGGAATATAGTAACATAGCTTTAAGTGTATTTCTCATGTGCCGTATGCTAAATTCAGCTACACATTACTTGCACATAAATCAACACATGTCAGTTTTTTAAAGTGGTCATTTGACTTCAAACATTTATATAAATCAGGGAGATTGCAACTTGAAACTATTAGAGAATTGGGTAGTAAAATCAATAGTTTTATTAGAGTTAGATTTAAAGCTGTATTGAGCATTATATTTTGTTATTACAACTGACTACGTTGTTATTCATCGATAACAAAGGGTATTTTAAATGAAACGTAAATTGTACGTTATGACACAGGTTAAAGATAAGGCACGGGTTAAAGATATGACACAAATTAAAGATATGGCATGGGTTAAAGATGTGACACAGGTTAAAGATATTGCACAAGTTAAAGATATGGCACGGGTTAAAGATAAGGCACGGGTTAAAGATAAGGCATGGATTAAAGATAAGGCACGGGTTAAAGATAAGGCATGGATTAAAGATAAGGCACGGGTTAAAGATATGACATGGGTTAAAGATATGACACAGGTTAAAGATGTGGCATGGGTTAAAGATATGGCATGGATTAAAGATATGGCATGGGTTAAAGATAAGGCATGGATTAAAGATAAGGCACGGGTTAAAGATATGGCACAAGTTAAAGATGACACAGGTTAAAGATATGGCACAAGTTAAAGATGACACAGGTTAAAGATATGGCATGGATTAAAGATGTGGCATGGGTTAAAGATATGGCATGGATTAAAGATAAGGCATGGATTAAAGATAAGGCATGGATTAAAGATGACACAGGTTAAAGATATGGCACAAGTTAAAGATGACACAGGTTAAAGATATGGCACAAGTTAAAGATGACACAGGTTAAAGATATGGCATGGGTTAAAGATATGACATGGATTAAAGATGACACAGGTTAAAGATGTGGCATGGGTTAAAGATACAGCATGGGTTAAAGATATGACAGGGGTTAAAGATATAACACAGGTTATAGAAATGACGTGGGTTGTTCTGATTCCAAACCCAAATTTCATCTTCATAGATGTCAAATCATCTTTAATCTTAAATCATGTTGAATTACAATGTAAAGTTACAAGTTATCTTAAATTTAGAATTGTTTTGAGTATAACTCCATATCAATTCTAAAAATATATATCCATTAGACAAGTACTGGTATATAAAAAAAACCCTACAACAAAAAATTGATAGCAAAAAAAATTTCATGTCTGCATCTAATGACTTTTTTCCCCGCTTTCTTTGACGCCATGTTTGATTTGGAGATAAAAGACAATATTTTTTTCATGTTTGCTTTTTGAAGGTGCTTATTAAATTCCTGGTTTCTTTGAAATGAAAGTAAATAAAGAAGTGTTAGAAAGCGCCAAGGGCTTTGTGTTAATTAAAATGTTGGAAAGGTAAAATGAACTAGGACAAATTGTGCTAAGGTGCCTGTGAATTGATGATTTATTTAAATTTGAAATTTGTGGAATCTTCATAAAACAGGAATTGTAACTAATTGAGAATCTATTTAGATTTAGATTAGCGTAATTGAGGACCTAAAGTGAACCCATATATACAAAAGGTAATTGTGAACCTGTATAGAGTAATAATGAACCAGTATAGAGTAATTGTTAACTTTTTAGGGTTCATTGTGACGTATGTAGGGTAATTGTGAACCTCTATAGGATATTAATGAACCTATATAGGGTAATAGATATTTAATCACATGTAGATATCATTATAAATATGTGTTAATCAATAATGTAATTTCAAAGTGTAATTATTTTAAAACTAGTACACTCAATATTGATTTCAATATCATTATTATTCTTGTCAATCTATTTCTCTGAACTTGTTGACCTTTGTAAAAGCATATGTCATAGCATTCTGTAGAATTTTATCTGGTTCATTTTGCAATTTGCATAATATAACTCAACTTATTTTGTTATATTTCTGTGGGAGTTTAAATGTAATATGAGTTAATATTCAGAAATTTGGTTTATGATATTTGGAATATGGCAATAATGACCAAATTTTTTTAAGCTGGTGTAACTCAGCCTTAAACAAAAACCTGTATATAGTTGAACAATGGGAGAAGGGATATACTACAATTTCTGCTTGTTTTCAAGCCAGAACATCTGCCTTTAAAACAGTCATCAAGTACGCTTTTTCTCCATGTAAAATATCAATATTGAAATCCTCAGACAAAATAAGAACTGTCGTAGGATGGGTAGATTAACAGATTAAGAGATAAACAGATTATAATAACAAGATAAGTCAGTTCTGATATATATTAACAATGATCATTAGGAAAGATCATTAGGAAAGATTAACATGGAAATCTTCAATCAATTTCAGCCTAGAGCTCTTTTTACACCTTATAAATCTCAATCAACTTGATTTATGTTGATTTATAGATTGAAGATAGATTTGAGTTTGATTTATGTATTTTTAACTTTTTTCAGGTCTGATTCTGAAAGAAGGCAACAAAAAGATATTCAAAATTTGCTGAAGCTGATGAATCTGATATACCAAATCCACAAAGACAACAGTAATATTACTAATGCTCAAAAACAGTTTATGGGTTTTGATGCCAATATTTCAATACTCTCTTATCTGAATAGTATATGTTTTAGAATTGTTAAAATTGTGTGTTCTAAAGCGTAAATTTAATTCACAACCTGCACCAAAAGCATATTTATTTTCCACGTTTTCAAATTTCTTTTCCCAATTTGTCTAATCTACCAAGATCTTTTAAAATTCTGTTCCAAATGCTAATTTAATTTCCTGCAATGTTTTATTTTTTTTATGTCCTGCACCAGAAGCCTATTTATCTTCCAACATTTTTAAATTCAACAGAAATAAATTGAGTTATCTTTGAAAATTGACAATTTCAATCTTTTTAGATGGTAGTCTCTTTAATCTGACTTGACTGTGGAATTCAATAATAGGATTTTGGAGAAACTTTGTGAGATTAAAATGACATATGAAGAGCTAGATATACTACTGTTTTACATCTTACTGGGCTTATAAAATAAAATGGACTTTTAAGTTTGACTTTTCTGTTCATGATTAGGCTAGAAACAGATAACAGAATAATGTGCCAAGACAGTGGCAATAGTCTGTTCCATTTTTGATCACCAACTTACTGTAAAAGGATCTTTAACGTTCTTAAGTTTACCCTTTTTAGATGGAAGCCCCTCTCATCCTGCAGTGGATATAATTTTTATTTACAGAAGTGACAGAAAATAAAAGAGACCAAATGATGGCAAACAATTCTCCATTTAAACAGCACAGAGCACTTTACCAATAATGCAGAGACCACTTTATCAATAATGCACAGAGCAATTCACCAATAATTACCAGTATTGCACTTTACCAATGATGCAGATACCCTCAGAACCAAAAGACCAGACTAAATATCTGAGACCACCAATAGTCTGATCAAGTGAGACTAACAGCTCTACCATGTTGTACATCAGTGTACTATGATAATAGTTTAGAAACCAGCAGTACAAGTTGTTATCAAGATAAACGGGAAATGTCACATTATAAACCTCTTTATCATCCCGCAGCAAAAAATACACTTTGACAACAGCATTTCAATTACTTTAGATACGACATATTTACTCTAACAGCAGGGACAAAATAATGATCTTCATATAGCAAGGAAACTCATTATGATACCAGCAAGACCAGTTACAGTGAAAATCTCTATTTTAAAGAGGTGTTGCTGCCATAAAAATAGTAATAGTGGCCAAAACTTTCTCCCAGTCATCAAATATATATGGGTTTTTTAATTAAATGAAGTTTGATTCTAAATATTAGAAGGTATACATAAGCTTCTAAAAATGAGGGCCTGAAAGAAACATTTCAAATTATGTAAACAACACAAAAAATTGCATCCAGCATCCATGGCAACGCATTTTGAAGCAGAAATGATTACAATAGATATATGTAAGCTTCAAAAAATGTAACCAGCAATGAAATAACATGTACAGCATATCCAAGCTAATAAAAGCCCTTGAAAAGTTGAAATTATGTAAGCCACATAACAAAATGGCATTCCCGCATCCATGGCAACGCATTTTGAAGCAGAAATGATTAGATTAGGTAAGCTTCATTAGTGGCAGATAGATTTAAGATTACCGCTCTTAACAAGTGGAATGGAATTTTCTAGCAAATCTAATTCCTCTTACATTCCCTCAATCAATAATTTGATTACATTATCTAAGGCCCACTTCACATCGACTTCATAATCACCCACAGAATATCAGGGTAACGCCTATCTATAATGCCCAGTTAACATTGGCTTTATCTAAATTTCTGTTTAGGCCTTGTCACTCAGAGAAAATTTGGGTTATTAGGAATACATTATAGAACAGCATTTTCTTTCACAGAACAGAAACTACATTATGTAACAGAACGAAAACTATCTAATCTTAAATGCATAAGTATGGAACACAGAAGAAAGGATATAGAATTATGTCTACAGAATATTACAGAACAGAACTTTCTGTTTACAGAGCAGAGATTACATACAGATTAAATTCAATGTATTCAAAGATTATAGAAAAAATCTGAAGTATTTGTTTACAGAACAGAGACTACATGTAGATTTAGATTATGTAACAGAAAACTATTGCTGTAAAGGATATAGAATTATGTCAGCTGTCATCACACAAGGAAAATCAATATTAGTTTAGCTTTACCATTTATAACTCTAATAGTATGGTCTAGGATACCATTTTTTTTCTTTTATATCATCATGGAAATGTACCATTTAATTCAAAGTAAATTATTTATAAAATGATACAGACAAAATGTATAAATAAATGATCAATATACAAATGTACTGTTATAAAGTTTTATAACTTGACAAAACATGCCATTTAAATCAAACAAATTATCAGACAAAATTTATAAATAAATTAACAATATACGAATGTAGTGATATTTTATATATATAAATCATAGAAACATGCAATTTGATTCAGAATAATTTATTTATGATCGAGACAAAATATAATAAATAAATAACATAATATGTTCAGTTTTTTTTTTATATTTGGTTATAAAGTGTTGTTAAGTTTTTTTTTCTTTTTTTCTGATTTAAGCAGCCATTTAATTCCAAATGCATTATATTAATATTAATGATGTTGACTCTCTGATATGGATGTCAAGTTGACAAACCAAACTGCAAAGTGATATCAGGTTCCAACAATTTCAATTAATTCAAAGGCAATGATTTTACTTATACAATTTAAAATGGCTATATACATATGATCAAAGATAAGAAAACTTTTGTTCTTTAACAGCACTCATAGAAAGTCTGCAATAAATTGGATTTAACCCAAACCAGAACCCTGCAACATGTAAGATAAAACAGCAGCTATGACTGTAAATACTTGAATTCCAGAGAAAATACAGCTCCATTACAGCTCTATACATCACTTTTTAAAAATAATATTTGGCATTTGGTATCCGTGCAATGCAATTCAAAACAGAGATGTGTCAAATTCTGATTTTAATAAGTGTTACAGAAAACTGAAATTAAGCTCAATTTGCTTGGAAAATCATATATCTAAACTAAAATTTGATTCCGATTTTCTTATATTCATTCATTCATTCCTCCATTCTTTCATTCCTA